GGAGACAAGTACAATATCCACATTCTCTCGTTCAGAGACGTCAATCCGATACACATTGACTCCACCTTTAATATAATTGGACCAGGGTTAGCTTTATYAAACCCTGAGCGTCCCTGTAAACAAATTGACATGTTCCACAAGGCTKGATGGAAGATTGTGCGGCCACCTGTCTGGGTTGTCTCTGATGACTACCCTCTTTGGTTATCGTCAAAGTGGCTATCAATGAATGTCCTGATGCTTGATGAAAAGAGGGTTATCTGTTGTGATCCCGACACTGCGACACGCAAGGTTTTTRCACTAGTTTTTCATTACTTTTAYATTTATAATGTACTTTTTGGTAAGCTCGTTTCCTCATTTGCCTTCTTTTTAAAGGATGCTGCAAGTCTGGTATCGCAGCTTTGATTTGCTTTACTAACGTGACTTGGGATTGATTRTTCTCAATACAAAAATTCCCATGTGAACGCACGAGATCAAAATTACTCCATGGGCTTGTAGCATTTATCAATAATTATTTGTTAAAGTATGAAAAAAGACGCGTTATTATCCCTAGGGACCATGATAGAAACACATTGCATGAAAATTATCCAATCACAGCACTTTCATCTTTTCAATTTTTGATTGATATGCAGTGTACATTTGGTCTATGCAATTTGATTATATTTTCCTTTTTTTTTTCAAATATAGATGTTCGAGGACCTTGGTATCACAGTCATTCCTGTTGATATACGCTGGGCATTTTGCTTTGGTGGCGGTGTTCATTGCTGGACTAGTGATATTCGTCGCAGAGGAATATTGGAATCATATTTTTAGATTTCTTGGTAAAAGTATAATCCAAGCATGACCTTAGAGCTAAACACATTGAATCAATGCATCCTAACGCATAAACCATATCATTGTATTAGAGTTGCTTATATCTACAGCGTTTAGGCTCAATCATCACAGTTAGGCATATTTTACGAATTAAAAATGTGGCACAAAATGGACTTCTGTCTTGATGGTGATGAATTAGAAATATTAAAGGCCTTCGTACATCCAGAAACCATTGCGATCGTTTCTTTTGTCTTTTCAAAGATGTCATGTCAAAATAAAACATGCTTTCTAATTTATYAAAATCAAAGATATAAAAATGTTCTAGGATGCAAGTGGAACTTGCTCTTATGCACCTTATAGGATATATGTAGTGGAAATTAGTGGGATGCCCCGTTAAAGTGCATATATGGGTTCAGCAATTTTTCTTTCAAATGAAAGTTTGGACATTAAAAATCACATAATCAAAGGAAATTTTACGATACTATATAAATTTCGTATATTTTTAAGCTTTCAAACTGCGGAATGAGTTGATAAAAGTCGAGCGTTATGGATGCCTGGTATACTAGTCCGTCTACTGACGTCATTCACGGAACAAGCTTATAAAAAAAACAACACTAAACTTCACAGAACTGATCTTTAAAACGACTGATTTCTTGAAAAAAAACATGTCTGATTGCAGCAGTGAATGTAGTGACTCTTGTTACATTTCTGAGCAATTATGAAGTTGAATCTGAAACCGATTAATGCGCAAAATCAGACCACTTTATCGAAGACCACTTCGAACCATCCTGAAGCATATCGCGACATGAACGCTTTAAAGTACAGCGACGAACCGATTACAGATGAAGAGTGGCTAGCTGAGTAATATAAAAAAGGTTTTATATGCGGACGGGAAATCTTCGCTAATGTTGTCAAGAAATGNTTTAAGCTTTCAAACTGCGGAATGAGTTGATAAAAGTCGAGCGTTATGGATGCCTGGTATACTAGTCCGTCTACTGACGTCATTCACGGAACAAGCTTATAAAAAAAACAACACTAAACTTCACAGAACTGATCTTTAAAACGACTGATTTCTTGAAAAAAAACATGTCTGATTGCAGCAGTGAATGTAGTGACTCTTGTTACATTTCTGAGCAATTATGAAGTTGAATCTGAAACCGATTAATGCGCAAAATCAGACCACTTTATCGAAGACCACTTCGAACCATCCTGAAGCATATCGCGACATGAACGCTTTAAAGTACAGCGACGAACCGATTACAGATGAAGAGTGGCTAGCTGAGTAATATAAAAAAGGTTTTATATGCGGACGGGAAATCTTCGCTAATGTTGTCAAGAAATGTAGTTACACGAACTTTCTCTGAGTATTTTAAACACGCTGTGTAAGATGCCCGGCAGCCGGTCACGGTCTTAAAAACCAAAATTTCAGAATTTTTTTCAAATCACGGCCAAATGACTGTTTGTGTTGAACCCACACTAAGGAAAGTTTGTTTAGAAATACTAAGCGCTCCTTTTAAGCAGTCCTACTTTGTATAAAGCTCGCTGGTCTTTGCTGGGCATAGTATACAAAACACCTTGCCGTGGCACTTAGAAATTGTCCGTCGAAAACGATCTACTCGGGTGACTTGATGACAAACTCATGCATAAAAGGCCATAAAATCAAGCTAAAAAGGTTGGTTTCTTGTTTAGCGTGACTATTTTATTAAAGTATAAAAAGGTTTCATATGCGGACAGTCAAACTTGGCGAATGTTGAGAAAAGCAGTTACTCGAACTTTCTCTGTATAAAAGGGTTTCATATTCGGACGGGCAAACTTAGCCAAAAATTGAGTAGCTACGCGATCATATCCTGCATTAGGCAATGTGTATGAATATGGACGGACAAACTGTATTATTATAGAAGGCTTCATTCAAGGTTTTATGGAAAGAATTCGCRTGTTTTCCTCTAATTACTCACAAATGYTTTTGCAAAGWTCGCTAACGAGCGCTAATGTCTCGTTTCTTTCCGKCGTCGAATTGCCTCTTGTCGCTGGTCGCCGTAATACTGAATTTTGTGCTAGGAAATATAGCGTTCACGACTGTTTATGTTACCACAACTTTTGACAACTGCTATCGGGTATTTTGGAAGAGGAATCGTATTCTTAAGTACGGAATTAAATAGAATTTTTATAGTTTTTTTGACTGGAAAATGACTGGAAACATTATTGTTCTGGGTGACGAGTTCCGTGAATGACGTCATGAAATGTTAGTTACCGGACTTCTGCATCGCTCCAAAATTTTGGCACAGGAGGCCCAAAACGGGCATTTTTAGCACTTTTAGGCCTTGAAAATGACACTAAAAAAATGTTTTTTTCGAGTTTAACCCACCAAACATAATTCATGACAGTCTAAACTTTTATTTTAAACCAAAATTGCTGAACCCATATATGCACTTTAAGCTGTATAATACCATGCGTTACAATGGTAAGCAGGGAAATACCTTGGCATTCAGTTATGATTCAGGCATAATATTTATTAACTTTTAAGTTAAAAGGCCATAGAATGTT